TGTATTTTAAGCGTGAGGAAGTAAGAATAATATGATTTGATGTGTTTGCACATTTAACAAGAAGAGACCCAATTCAGAGAAGAGCTTCCAGAGTACTTCTAATTCTTAATATTTTTTTTTCCCTGGCATGACTGCACACTGCTGTATAGAAGCTGAACCAGCCAAAAAGAAGAGTTTTCACTCAGAGGGTGGTGACACACTGGAACAGGTTGCCAAAGGATATTATAGATGCCCCATCCTTGGAGGCATTCAAGGCCAGGCTGGATGTGGCTCTGGGCAGCCTGGTCTGGTGGTTGGTGACCCTGCACAGAGCAGGGGGGGTTGAAACTCGATGATCATTGTGGTCCTTTTCAACCCAGGCCATTCTATGATTCTATGAAAAAAAAATGGAAAGATGTATGGAACAGGATAAATTTTAAGGGACAAAAAGCTACAATCCCATCCTTGGTGTCTTTCAGTTGGCTGAAACTGTTGTTGAATAGCTCAAATGTTCTTTTTGTTGTTAAATAATTCAAAAGGAATTGAAAGGACTTTGATGCTGGAATAGAGTGATGCAAACAAAGATAAAAATAAAATGACGTGTTTGTTTCAAACTGCCTTTGAAATGCAGATTGTTCTAATTAATTTATCATTGATATATGTAAAAAGATTTCTCTGCAGGTTCTTCAATTTTTATAAAATTGTGTCTAGTGGGATGTACTGAGTATTATGTTGCTCTGGGTGCTGGTCACCGCTCTATTCCAGCTGATAATTTGTCCCAAAAAGAAGAGTGACAAAGTTTCAAATATTTAGTTGTGCAGGCAAGCATACTTGTCGGTGGCAAGGGGTTAGAATTTGATGATCCTTGAGATCCCTTGCAACCAAAGCCATTTGATGATTGTATGATTCTATGATACATTATCATCTCTTTTATGTTGTGGAAAAACGAATATATATATCCAATATATATGACCAGTGTTTTATATTTCCTAAAGTGGAGTTCCCTACAACATTCTTGCTGCCATTTTATGTTCATGAAGTATCTTAACGCACATAAAATGTTAAATTTTCTCACTTTAGTTTGGAGACTGTTGTGCATTACATAACACCCCAGAGACTTCTATAAATAATCAGAAATTCGTAACAGTCACTTTGCTGCTGTGTGGAATTATGTTCTGTTGACAATGCATTGAGGTGGAAATCCAGCTTGTAAACAAATGCTCAGGGTTCTACCTCAACAAGAACCTGAGAAACTCCTGAGTTGTGCTGAGCAAACTTTGCCACATTTACTCAACTGAAAAAATAAATACTTTTTCATTTCTGCAGAGATTACATGCGTTTCTCTTTGCTTTTTCAGCAGATGTCTCTAATGGAAGCTAGTGTTTTGTTAGGATTTTGGTTTTTTTTAATTCAGATGCTTTGTTTGTAACTAAAGATAAGAGAAGACATTTAAAGAATGTCCAACTGATTTAGATTTTAGCTTAGCAGCTAATTCACCTTTCTAGAAGTTGTCCTATACTCTTGTCCTCAATGTACACTCATGCTTTCTCTGTTCTGGGCTTAAGTTGTTTTCTGGGTACCAAAAATGCTCTGTAGTCTTCTTCATCATAACTTGATTTTCTTCCAGTCCCCCCAGTCCTTTAATTAATTATATGCCATTTTAAGAAGGAGGTCTGTTTATTGTCATTGAATTTGTTCATTGAATGAAGTCTAGCATGTGAGATGAGCTGTTTACAGAAGTGTGGCATAGCGCTCTATGTTTCCTAACCCATTCCTAATGAAAAGCCCTAAAAAGAGAAGACTTTTATCACAATTTAGGAAGGTCTGTGTACTGATCAAAGTCAGAGGGAAGGTCCCTTAAAATCTGCAAAGGCTGAAAAACATGGGGCAGAAAATTATTTTTAAGCCCCAAAGATATTTCTTGGAAATACTCTCTCATGTTCCCATTGATATTTTCCAGAAGACTCATACTTAATTTTAGTGTTTTTAACCCAGATCTTGCAGAGCCTAAGTGAAGTGCTGAGGTAGCTGCTGATGTACGGCACTGTAGGAGATTGTCTCATCTTGTAAATGGTGGTGTTAGAGTCTGCCAGTGTTCCCTGGTTGGATCATTTGGGAGAGGGAGGCTGGAAGAATCCTGGATAGTCAGGGACTCTACTGTGTGCTCCCCTTTCTTTGCAGTGGGTTTGCAGTGAAAATAAAATGATTGGGTTTTTTTTTTTTTTTTTATTTCCTAGGGCTACTTATGATGTACCATAATTTCACAGCAATGTAATCCTATAAAGCACAAGATGCAGATGTTCATTTCAAAATGTTTTGTTTTCCATTTTACCACTGTAGATCAGGAAAATGTTCTCTGAAAACAGTGGATTTGTTCTAATTTATTCTGCGAGATGATAATTAAAGAGCCAGGAAAGCAATGAAATGTAGCAGTAATGAAATATAACAGATGACAGAAACACTTCAATCTTTCCCTGCTTACAAGAAAGATAGATGATGTAATTCTAATTGCCTATAAGCTTATGGTCTGGGTGTAAAGCTGCCCAGCTCTGGGGAGCTGCCCAGAAGTGCAATTTGACTATGACTAGCTTGAAGATACAGAGAGGGATCTGAGAAGCAGCGCACTCCAAAAGAAGGAGATGAAGATTGTACTGAATCATAGCTGCAGTTCAAAGCCCACTGGAATAGAGCTGAATCATCTCTGAATCTTCTTTGAACAGAAAAAACCTTTGCAAAGACTGGGAGGATGCTTCTAGGTAGAGGGCATCCAGAACCTCTCTGGACAATCTATTCCAGTGTCTCACCATCCCCACAGTAATGAATTTCTTCCTAATATCTAGTCTAAATCTAACCTCTTCCACTTTAATACCATTTCCACTCGTCCTGTTGCTACCTGCCCAAAAGATACTCCCCAGCTTTCCTGTAGGCCCTTTCAGGTATAGCAAGGCAGCTATGAAGTCTCAGAGCCTTCTCTTTTCCAGGCTGAAGAGGGTAAAGTTGGAATTGAATCAGGACGCTGTCCTGGTTTTAGTTGAGATAGAGTTGATTTTCTTTATAGTGGCTGGTATGATCCTATATTTTGGTTTTGGGAGAAAAATAATGCTGATAACATACTGTTTTTTGAGTTGGTGCTGTGCAGTGCTCACATGGAGTCAAGGACATTTCAGCTTCTCATACCCTTCTGCTGGGCGAGGAGCTGGCAGTACACAAGGAGGTGGAGGGGGGCAGAACCAGGACTGCTGAACTGCACTGACCAGAGAGACATCTCATACCATATGGCATCGTGCTGAGCAGTAAAACTGGGTTGACTGGCAGAGCTGCTACTGTTTGGAACTGGCTGGGAATCAGTCAGGAAGTAGTGAGCAATTGCACTGTGCATCACTTGCTTTGTGTATACATATATATATATTTATATATAAATTATTATCATTTTCTCTTCCTTTTCTGTCCTGTTCATCTGTCTCTATCTCAACCAATGAATTTTACGTTTTTCTATTTCTCTGCCGCCTTCCACTGGAGAGGAGTGAGCACATGGCAGTGTGGTGCTACGCTGCCAGTTGTGTTAAATCATGGCAGACACTTTTATGAAACGGAGCAGTTTCATAAGGAGATTATCTTTGTAAAGGCTTCTCAACATACTGTAGAAAACATCAGCCTTGTTGGCATACTGTATTCACATGGACAGAGATCACATTAAAGACTTTAACTCCTAAAACTGACAGAAGGGAAGCAGGAGCACAGAGAGGTGCATTATTTTCTTCCCATCTAGCAGCAGGCTGACAGCAGAAGGAAGTTCTGAGGCCCAGTGACTTGCCTTGCTTATCATAGAATTGTTTGAATTGGAAGGGACCTTTAAAAGTCATCTTGTCCAACTCCCCTGCAGTGAACAGGGCCACCTATAGCTCCATCAGGTTGCTCAGAGTCCCTCCAGTCTGACCTTGAATGTGTCCAGGGAAGGGGAACAGACCACATCTCTGGGCAGCTTGTTCTAGTTCTGGGCACCCCAGGCACTACAGGCTCATCTTGGGGACAAGGTCACACTCTTTGGAGCTAACAGCCTGTTTTCACCTGAAGGTGGAAAAGGAAACTGACAATGTACATTTATTTTGTATGCCAGTGATGTTCTAGGTATGGAAAATAGAAAAACTCTCTGTCAAATGCACTGAAAGGTAACAAGAGGTGACAAGCCAGGGACTCATCTGTATCAACTACTGGACTCAGAAGATGGCATGTATGGCCATTTAACAGCCAAATGCAAAATCTCTCCAGCAGGACAATATACCACCTGATCTTTTCTGATAATACTTCTCTTTTGTTTTCTCTTCCATTCTGCAAATACAAACTGTATGGATCTTTATCAGGAAGAAATCTGTAAACTCTAACAGAATGTCACCCATCAAATACACTGCATACGTGAGAAAGCAAATGGGAAATAGAGGCACTGATAAACTTTTTCCGTGGCGTTAATTATTTTATAGGAGTTCTTCTTCGTGTCTGCTCTTACTGGACTCCTCTATAGCATGAGAACATTTGAATTAGTAGGTGTTTCCTTAAAAAGAACAGAAGCTACTTCACCTAGACTGCTTTCACATAGTTGTAGTTAACCTTTAATTTTCTTTAATTAATGATTTTAAAATTTGTTTCTAATTAACAGATAAAAAGCTACTCATGAATTTGCTTTTAAGGCCAGGTATGTTCAAGGAGCACAACTTAGAAGCATTATTTACACCCTTTCTGAGAAATACGTGTTATTGTGGTTGCTTTCTGATATGATTGAGCTGAAATGGAGTCCCATGCTTGATTTGGGAAATTTTTTGTGTGAATATAGACTATTTTCTGACTTACCTTGATGAGCAGACTATGTGAGTCTTATTATTTGAACAGGTGTTTAAGATGCAACTGTGTAAAAGGCTGCAGTTTATGCTTATCATTTTAACTGAAGAGTAAATAGGGAGGAATTAGATGAGAAATCCATTTATCAGGTGATCTTTACTGTTCTAAAATCTGGTTTTATTTTGCAGGTGATGGAAGTTAAGGGACAAATGATTCATGTGCCAGAATCCAATTCAATTTTGTTTCTGGGGTCTCCCTGTGTGGACAAGCTGGATGAACTGATGGGCCGAGGCCTCCATCTGTCGGACATACCTATCCATGATGCTACTCGTGATGTTATATTGGTTGGGGAGCAAGCGAAGGCCCAAGATGGCTTGAAAAAAAGAATGGATAAACTGAAGGCAACGCTAGAACGCACACACCAAGCCCTGGAAGAGGAGAAAAAGAAAACAGTCGATCTCCTTATTTCTATTTTCCCTGAAGAAGTGGCTCAGCAGTTGTGGCAGGGGCAGCAAGTTCAGGCCAGGAAGTTTGATGATGTCACCATGCTCTTCTCGGATATTGTTGGCTTCACAGCCATCTGTGCCCAGTGCACACCCATGCAAGTCATCAGCATGCTGAATGAACTCTACACACGGTTTGACCATCAGTGTGGATTCCTGGACATCTACAAGGTAATAGCTGAAGTCCTAAGTTAGTAAAATCTAATGGAAACTAAGATGGAAAAACTTACCAGTATCTCCCCTCCAAAAGTGTGAAAGGCAATTGTTTACATCACAGGAAAAAAGAAATCTGAAATTTGTTCATTGAAATCAAATACTTTAATGTTGAGCGGTCATCATGTTTACCTCATGGCAATGTATGTCCAACATTCCTTTTTTCCTATAGGGGTACACACCTCCTGTGTAATAGTCTGGTTTTCTTTAAGTGACACTTCAGTTACAGTGCAGTAAGGATGATGAAGACCTCAGTGATGTCCTTAGCTCCTGAAAAGCACTAGAGTATTCTCTGTTTCAGCAGAGCCTGAATGTTCTTTTGGTTTAGATTTAACCTTCCACTCAAGATTAGGAAGAGAACAGCAGCTGTCCATTCATACTAAATGAAATGAGTGTGAGATATTAGTGTTGTGCCCCGATCCTTTACAGCCCTGCAAAAAGGAATTGTCACACTGTTAGTCCTTGTTACAGACTGCAGCTCCTTCATTCTCTTGAGGGGATTTGGTTTCCAGGTATTTGAGAGAAAAAAATAAGGGAGACAGAATTTAATAAGTATAGTTAAAATACTACCTGTGTAATTATCCTGTGAAATAGAAAATATGTTTTGTGTATAGCATACATTTTAATTTTGTGATAGGAAAAGCAGAACAAGTTTATTTTTATAACTATGAATACATCAAAGAAAAAATTCATAGTTTTAAAATTATATGTTGACTTTATTTTCCATCTGAGGCTTTCAAACTGAATCACCGGTTTTCCACTTGCATTAAATAGTTTTTGTTCATAGACTGTAGAGAGGAGGTCCTCACAGTACTGGCATTCCTTTAGTTTTTATCATCCAGTACTCTCTAACAGGCTTCCAAAAATATTAATTCTCTACTTAAATAATAATAGCTATTGTTGCTGCAAAGTTTTAATAACTACCATGGGTAGAAATGTATATTGCAAAGATATAAGTTGATATGACACTACCAAGATAAAACATCATGCTTTAAATTAGTTTTGAACTCCTAGGCTATGGGTTACTGTTACTAATGCTCAGAAGCCAATGTCATGCTGTAGGAAGACTAGAAGACTAGAATGGAAGGTATCAACACTCATTTCTTCTTCTACCTTTTTTTTTTTTTTTGTGTGTGTGTGTGTGTGTGTGTGTTATAGCTAGAAAAGATGGGAAGTTTGATGTTGGTTCGTATTAGTCTGCTGTTACTGTGCTGGTTCTCAAGTCAGCTCTGACAATGAGACTCGAGGAGCTTCTGACCAACCATTAAAAGCTGTACCTTGTGACTCCATTTTGTATGCTCTGTAGGATATATAGATGTAGTCAGTGTTTTCCCAGAGCTTAATTTTAGTTATCTGTTCTGAGGCATTCAGGACATTCTTTTGTTAAAAACTGTGATTGCATAGCAATAGGAAATAAAGTATCTAATAACCTCTGATCTGTATGGAGAGCAGGTTGGCAGAGTCCTCTGAAAACACTATGAAGGAATATTTTTACATTAGTTGTGAAGATTAGGCCATTTAGACCGTGCATTACTGCCTTTCACTACTTTCTGGCACTTTAGATGGAAGAAGTTACTGCATAGCAACATTGTTCTGATCAGTTATGTAAGATGATGGCTGCTGAGATGGGCAAGATGAGATTTACACATCAAGTATGTGTACTCAAAAAAAAAAAGAAATTAAGACCTCCATGTAATGAGCAGAAGAATAAACAAAGCCTGTTTTTCTATGGAAGGTTGTCTTACACCTCAAACATTATTTATCCACCGTTACTGCCTTAAGGAAGAAGAACTGCTGGGTCTTCCTCAGATCCCTTCATCGCAGGTTTGCCTCCATCTCCCTGCTCCCTCATGCACCCTGAGCATCCCTACACCCCATCCCTGTCTTCAGGTTCTGTCCACAGTCTTGACCCCTACAAGTAAGGTAGCGTGTGCTTGTTTTGGAGCTGTGTGTGTGCGCTATGCTTGCTGGTTGTGGAGCTCAGAATGCCAGTGGGATCCTGTTGTTGCTGGGCTCACACGACAGCCAGTTCTGCAGCTGGGAACAATGTTCTGAATCTCCCACATTGATCCAGGCATGAATCTTCTCTCAACCTGCAGGATATGGGTCTTTGAAATCTCTTTTTTATTTTTACTTTTCCCATTTATTTTTCTTTTCTTAATTAGGAGTCCAAAAAAGTTACAGTGGGATTAAGTGAATGCGACTCAATTAAGCATTACAAAAGGACAGAAAACTCAGCCACTGAGCCATCTTTCATTTCCTTAGAGAATCAGGTTTAAGATATAAACACAACTGCTTTTGAAAAAGCATTTGCATTTTAAAATAAATGTAACTTATGTGCTTGTATCTCTTCCTTTTTTTTTCTTTTTTTTTTTTTTTTCCAGATGGTATTTTTGAAACTAATTTTATTAATAGGGATGATCACCACCATCACAGCTACTATTTCAGAAGTTATTCTCAGGCAGTGAGTTTTAGATATATCATCACCAGTGTTTGTACTGACAGCCTACTTTTAAGACATAGTCCTGTAACAGAAATTTATCCTGAACATCAAAACACAACTGTTTTCAAATTTGCTTATGCTTCAGCAATGTGGAAAAAATAATTTGCAAAAATTATTGGTACAGTACTTCTGAAGACCAAATTCATCATTCTATAAACAGAAAATTAAGCAAAATTGATTAAATAAGCTTCATGCTGTAAATTATTCACCCAGCTTTACTGCTACAGCATTACGAATTCAGAACCTCAGTGCTTCTAATTTTGGAGTCAGACAATGAATGTAATACTTTTCAGTTGTCTCGTACTATTTATTCAGGAATATTTACAGATAAATGGGGAATGCAACTGAAGAACAGAGATACTTGTATTTAACAAGTAGAACATGGAGGGCAAGCGTAATGAGCTGTTGGTACAGAAAAAGAAAGTCTTGAAGAGGGCTGAAGGAGGACGAATTAGACTTTGAAATTCCTTGGAAATGAAAGTACGTACCTGTGAGTGATGAGAAAGGGAAAGAGTATCCAGCAGGAGGATGCACAGGTACGAATGTCACGAGCGAATGATGGGCTCAGAAAATTAACTTCAAAGCAGTAGCATATGGAATAGATGCCAGAGATGGCAGATTACATTTTTACAGGCTTAGGGAGAACAAAGCAGTAACTGAGATGCATTGTGATATCAGCATGGGTGACAGTTCTAGCAATTTATGTTTTAGACTGAAATTTAGAAAGAATTTTCTTGCATGCAACTGATGAGAAGATGAGTAGGGCACTTGTGAGGTAGGACAACCGATAGAGGATGCAAGAAAGCTGAGACCTGGCAATGCCTTTGGAAACTGGTGCTGTTCACTGTCTGAGCTAATCATATTTGTCTTGATACTGATGAGTGGGAGAGAATGCTGTCCAGAAGGGAGTGCAAATCATAGCGATACGGGTGCAATTCTGAAGACCAGAGCTGCTTTATAAGGTACTGACTATAGACATGCAGATAGAAACACGGACTCCAGGAGAAGAAGCACTGAGATGGATATTAATAAATTTTGAAAGCAAATGATTAGGGTAAAACATATCCTGGTTGGCCTGACTGTGTTTTTGTTTTGACCCATTTTTATCTGTATCTGAATTCATGTTATTACGAGCCAAGAGCTGGGAAATGATGCTTCGGCTAAGCCATCTACTACTTAGATAGTAGCTATTTAGATACGCTGCAGCCATAGCTAGCATTTAAAACTTAGTCTTGAAGACTGAAATCTTTCATGTTCAAGCTTCCTGCAGCCTCTGTTTCTCCCTCCGAGTAATGTCTTTGATACAGGATCATTTAACCTATTTTTGTTGTTCAGGTTTTTTTTTTTTTTTTTTTTTTTTTGCCTGGATGGGCCTTATCAGCTCTTTTCCCCTTGTTAGCTTTCTGAAAAGACCCCTTTTCCCTCCCTTGTCTTTTATTGCATAAGGATACAAGATGCTGTGGTAGTTTCTTTGGCCATACATTCTTTGCTGTGACACAGAGTCTCTCACTCCCTTATGAAGTCTGGGCCAAGATGGAACACCTATGTTTTGGGGGAAACTCAGAAGTGCTATAGGGTTATGTTTAAAAATGAACAAAGAAAAACCTACAGAAGATTCCTGTTTGTCTGAAATTGTGCTACAGATCTGCTATATTCTCACCAGAGAGCTGCCAGATACTTAAAGACTTCCTATTTCTTTAAGCCTGTATCTTGCTTCAACCTTGTGGAGGATTCACATTTTTTGTGTTTAGGGAGATGTGCAAATGAAGCAAACATACATTCAGGCTCCAAAACAGTTACTCTTTATGTACATACAGACCTGTACAGAGCACTAAAGCATGTGTACATGTTCCCCTGCTCTAGCAATTAATCACTCAAGAATTCTTTAAAGAATCCAGGGCTTCTGCTTCTGTATATGATTTCTTCTTCATGAATACCATGCTTCTATAGGTTTACTTCTGTCTTTTTTTTTTCTACTTCCTTCTTCCATTATTGTCTTGCCTGAGAAGTGCACATTTATGTGTCTCATTCCATATCTTTCATGTTGTCTGGGAGCATTGAGCCTATGTCCAACCTGCAGGTTGTGGGAGTGCTTCCCAAGATCTCAGTTTGATTGTGAATCCTGGCTACCTCCTGACTTTTTGTTTGGGTACGACCCAGAAGTTTATTCTTCTTTAGTGCTCCCTTCTCCATACCAAAAAGAAAGTCCAGTTATAGTGGCTGAAAAAGACTTCTGTCCAAGAGCATACCTCATTGCAGCACGCAGGGCTCCCTGATGCTAGGTTTTTTTAAAAAACATCATTCATACTTGAGCACTTTGTTTGCTTGTGACATGTTTTTCCCTTTTAGTCTCCCTGAAAGACTGGAGAATATTGATTTCACGTTCCATCAGTCTAAGATATTTCCATTTCAAAGACCAGCATTGTCTCAGGTCTAGAGCATACTACCAGAGGTA